CTAGGTCCTTAGAAAGGTTAAGAAAAGTAAAGCATTAATCACTTATTCAAATTTGAGAGATCACAATGCATCATCCTAATATTATTTATATGGATTAGGATCGGTATAATGAAAAATATTCTCAAATCTAATCTGATTTTCTTCCTAACTAGCGAAAACAAAACAAAACAAAACATTGTTACTATGTCTAGGATATCCTATTAAGCGATATTCAAGAACATTTAAACTGATGTCAAAGATCGAGCTAATGTAGTAATAATTAAAACAACAGTAGAAGCCCTTATTGTCTTGGGTGTGTTTCGAAGAAGGCCATCGAATAGAGTTTAAAAAAAAAAGAATAATAAAAAGTATTATATGGCCTCGTGAACCATGATCATTTCCTTAGCATAGAATATTTTACCGACCATATATTTTATCTAGATCGTCAGAAAAGGTGTAACCTTAATTAAAATCCAGACATGTGGTTAATTTCTCAGTTTATTCTACTACATTTTGTACTAGGAAAAATACAAAAAGATCTTCATCATTAATCAGAATGCCGAAACCATTACTTTTGTCCCCTAACATAAAAGACTTTAAAAGTGGAGCTATTATTAGCTGTAAGCTGTTCGTTAAAAGTCCACTTACGTGCACCAAGCATCCAGAAGTGTCCAGCGAGTGGTCATGGTTCATGTAACCTACACAAGTTTTTGTTTCATTCTGACCAAAATACCCTAAAATATCTTTGATGAACTGAACCCATTTGAAGGAAAAATCCACGGAGACTCGGCATGCTTTAACAAAGTTCACTGCCCCAAATTTGTAAGGCTAGTGTTCATGTTGTATTGAGCTGTATACGACTTGGTTTTGTCACCACGTACCCTTTTATTTCGTTTGCAACACAATTTTTAGCCAAGTAGAAGTCCTACACGCAAAAGGGTAGTTATTTTATAATTAAAAGATTATTCTAGTTTAAGATTGTTGTTATTCCTCATTGTCTACACAGGTGGCTTCCAGTTGTTTAGACAGAGAAGTAACTTCTATCTAGGGGCACTGCCGCAATATCGAAAGCTTCAAGAGGTTGAACATTGACCATGTGGCATGATGGTGCTCCCCTATGAAATTTGTGGACACAAGTTGCGAAGCTGCAGCATTTATTACCATTCTCTTTTCCATCCTTTATTGCGTGCACTTGCTTCAGCCAACAAAATTACAAGTTCAAGGCATTAAAAACCGCGGTTTATGCATCTTATGTTGTTTTTATGTGACCATAACAAAGTTAAAAAATAATTAAAATACGCCCATTTTCTTTTCATCCTTCAAACTCCTATGGGTTTATTATGATGTGATTTTAAAATTGTAAAATTTCATTCTGATAATCATTGAAGGATTCGGAGAATATATAGTAACTCACTCATGAGTTAAGCATATGTAGTCGACAGTGACTTGAGAAAAATAAACAATTTAATCTTAAAAGCCAACATTTTTTTCTGTTTAAATTCATCTTTATTAACTTCTTTGATGATTTTTTATTTAATTTTTAGTTTTGAATATAATTAAATATAATAAAAATATCTATATACAAATTATTGCTTTAAAAATAACGAATAGTAAAGAATGAAAAACAATTATTTGATTTGATCATAAAGAATTTTCGCTAAGCATCCAAGAGACGCAATTGGATCATCCAGTTATTTATTTGATTTTTTTAATTTAAAATAAATATCTTTAAAATATTTTTTTTCAAAAAATTTAAAATATGTTTTAATCGTATTTAATACATAAATTGCATAAGAGTAAAATGAATTATAATTTGGGTCACACAAGGCCTTGACGAAGTACTGTAGTTGAACACACCTCATGCTACAGTTGAGCACTACACTCAAAATGAAATCAAGATTTGTAATTTGTTATGCGACTTGACTAGCACGACAGTGTCAATATTAAATGGAATATAAGTTTGCGATTTACGTTAACATGAGCGTGCTTGAGTTTCTTTTTACTTCTTTAATCTTAATACGCTTTGAACAAGTATAACATCTTGTAGAGAACTCTTATTTATATAAATTATATATCTTTTCATATAACTTTTCGATATTTATTTAACCAAACACCCGCAAAGGGATTTAGACAAAATATTTCTAAAATTTCAACATTCTAATTCTTATTTGTATTTTTACTTAATATTTTTTGTATTTTGATCTGACTCTCTTTTGTTGCTTAACTGCGTAATAATAAAATATTAAAGGTAATGACTTCATATTTAATTGATATATTTTTTTATTTTTTAAAAATTAATTAATGATAAATATTTAAAAAATTTCAACATTCTAATGTCACATCACTCTTGAACCATTAATGTTTTGAATTCCAAAGTATATACAAATGTGCTTAAGCAAGCTTCATGCTACAAGTCACACCATCTTTGGATAATTTATGTTCTATTTTCAAATGAGCACTTCTCATGTTTACTTGGGCATGATTATACTGTAAGTTGTACCACTTTTAAATGACTTATGTTCTATTTATAATGAGTACAATTGATAACTGTACTACCAAAAAAAAAGAGATATTTTGAGATTTTTTATGTATTTAAATTTATTTTATAGTTTAAATATATAAAAATAATAATTCCAAAAAAGAATTTCATGACATCCAATGTGTTTTTTTTCTTTCATTCATTTTTATGCTTCCACGTAAATTAAAGTATTAAGAGGGGGAGTTTTGGTATTTAGTCTTATATATAATGATGATAAAAAAAAGTTAAGAAGTAAATTATCAGAAATTAAAATTTTAATTATAAAATTAAAAGTATGCAGTAAAAAAATGTAAAATAATGATTAGTTGAATTACAACAAGTATCTAATAGTCCAACTTAAGAGACACTAAATATTTTAGGTGTATTAAAATCTTAATTTCATTCGTGATGAAGTTATTATCAAGAAAGATTTAGAAGCTCAGTTTCAAGTAAAATGGAAAAATGAAAGAGAGATACACTCTGGTTGGTTAGATGACATTTTTTGGTGTGAGGATCCATTCCATCTAGTTAAAAGTATCTCGAATTCCATGAAATATTTGTGTTTTTCTTTCTTCTCCTCAATACCATTAGTGGTGCATAAGAGTTTGATTCTGTTTTTTGATAGAAAATATGATGGACTAGGCACTCCAAGGTTTTCTAACAAATCTATGTATCTCCCCTCCAAATAGACCTGTGTTGTATTTGATAGGTACTTTTAATATGGTTGATTAATTAAAATGAGAGTTTTTTTTGATAAAAAAATGTATTGAATGTTATATATTATTGGAAGTGTTTTTTAAGTATTTTCATAGTTTAATGGTATTAAAATTTTAAAATATCATTAAAAATAAAACTTAAGTATAGTATCACAATTTTTTTTTCTTGCTATTCTTCAATTACAATTGAAATTTTAGTTTAGTAATCTGTGTTAAGCCGTACTTGGTAAGTTAATGAGAAAGATTGGAGGCTCAATGTCAAGTAATTCAAAAATTGAATAGAAATTTATCAGAACGAGACAACATAGTGTGATGGCGTGATTTTTGAGGGACACGTCAAGATAATGGGCATGATTTTAAATCGTAATATTCAACCATAATTAGGATTGTATTATTATTATTTTTAGGATTTTTTTTAACCTAAAAAGTTATATAAAACAAGATTTTATAAAAAAAATTATAATGTTTAATATTATCAATGCATTAAATAACATTTTTATTTAATTATATAGTTTTTAATAAAAAATTATTATATATAATTTTTTATCTTTTGTAATACTTTTTTTTATAAGAAACAAAATAGAGTATTTTTTTTTAATTATAAAAAATATAGGATAAATTTGAGATGTATTAATTATTGAATTCTTTTTATACCTTTCTTTTATTTATATCATTAAATATATTATTTGATATCATATTTAATATCGTTGATATTTTTAAAATAAAATTTATATTTATAAAAATTATTGTAAAAAAGAGCTGAGAGAGTAGTTGTAGTTGACGCTACAAAAATTCACATGTTTTAAGATCTTTGTAATGCTATCCAATTGCAGTAGCATTTGCTATATTTTGTTGATTCTGATGCAATATTAGCAATTATTCAAAACTTCGGGATTAGGTTAAAATGTGAGTGTTGATAAGAAGAGCGAAGGGAAGTGGGTGAGTCGGAGAAATTTTAGGGGTTAGAGAATCGATGAAATGAAGTTTCTTATGCATGTGATGTTTTCAACTTATGAATCACTCATTCTGTAAAATCTGTTTTCTGCTGTACATTTAAGGATTGAAAAGTTTATTGTTCGGTAAAATCCTAGAAATGGTGAGTGAGTATTTAAAATTGATATATGAAATTGACTTAAATAGCTTATTTTTTCTTGTGTCGTGGTGAATCTTTAAATGAGGATGATCTTGTCAATTTTTGTTGTGAATGTAGATTTTGGAACAAAGTTTTGTTGCAGAAAATGAGGATTGGATTAAGAAAAATGGCTTATGGTCGTTGGAAGAAATGTGATGCGAAACTAGAGCACCATTATTTAAAGACATTCACCGGTTGCTGTCTAAGAATAATCATGTTTAAAATGTGCACATGATTAGCGAAAGATATCAAATAGCTGATTTTCTAACCCAAAAATTGGGAAACAGAAGTGCTGTTACCTTATGTACGGTGACAACTAGCAATAGCCTCCACCTCTGTTTTTGTGCCGATGCAGCTGGCATATTCTGCTTTATGCTTTCATTATTTCCTTCTTTAGAACCAAAAGTAAAGGAAAAATCAGATTTTGGTTCTTTAAATTCAGTCAAAAACAAAAACCAAAGTATAAAAGAAAAAGGAAAAAAACCTTAACCAATTATATTAGTTGTCACTTTCATTGAGAAGTGAAATTATAATAATCATTGAACGAGTAGTTCCATTGGTCCTTGTATTTCAATATTAAACGTAATTGAAGAAAATAATGCAATATAATATTCAGAGACCCTGCTACAAAAGCAACCCTTTGTCTATCTATATAAACACCTTCCTGCGTCCATTGTTCCTCCCCTCTTCCTCTTGCTTCCTTCAATAACTTCGCATTTCTCTCTCTCTAAGCTTTGCATCCTCATACCTTCTTCTTAAGCCTTAGCATCATTGATTTTTCCGTTTAGGGTAAGCTATATGGCTTCGCTTATTTTTTCATGCAGAACATTTTGGTTCTTTTCTATTTTTCATTGCCATGAATCCTTAACTTTTGCTTCATCATTATTGAAACATAATTAACCTTAACCCATTGTTGCCATGATTATGATTTTGGCATCTTGTTTGGGAATTCACAAAATTCACTTGCAATAAGAACCATTACCACACCATAACTCTGTTATTTAGAAATGTGGCCTAGTTTATAAAGCGATTCTACTTCTAAACATTTTAACAGTTTATGTTCCTTGCTATGACGAAGCCAAAAATTATGCATTGCTGTAAAGTTATATCTTTTCTTTAATAATAATCTGCTTTGTTTCTTCGGTTCCATCCAGAAGGTTTGTTAAATAAGCAAATTTTGTACTTTCAAAAGGTGATGCACTTTTGGAAGTGATTTTCTGTCGCATGAACTCTATTCAAAGATTATATTAATGGGTTTGTGACCTTCCATACAAGTCTTCCTTGCTTTGGTGTCCATATCTTATGGTTTCTTAAGTCATATATTTTATGATTGAAAGCAACTTTTTACGCTTTCACAAGTCTCTGTAAGTTCTGTGCCCCAAAGAGGCACTGTTTCACTATTTCTTTTTAATTCAACTCTTTCCACTGGTTGTGGATTGTCCACTCAGTAACTTCCCAAATGATTTGGATTGGTCCTCTGATTGTCTCCCCTTATGCATACTTTTGCCACTTGTGGTGCTAATCTGAGTCAATAAGAGCATTTTTTTTCTGTCCATGACGATCTGTGGATAGAGAATCAAATTGAATTGTCATATAAATTATGGTAGGTTCAAGTTGTCATTGAACATAGTGCTCATTTTGTTTTCTGTTCTATGTTTAAGGCTTTGTGATTGAAATGGAGTACGAGGACCGCTTCAGACAAGAAGCTCAGAGACCAAAATATGATTGCCTTCTTTTTGGTAAGCCTTGTATTGTTATCAGAACAACCTTAAAATACCAAATTGAAATTTATAATTCCATGTCATAATAACCATGAGATTGTTCTGCAGATTTAGATGATACTTTGTATCCCCTCAGATCTGGTCTGGCAAAAGCATGTCTACAAAATATTAAAGGTAAGCCACTGTAGCATATACCTATGTCATTGCATTCCCAGGAATATCCTTATAATTTGTATTGACAAGAGTGGTATCATTGATGTTAGATTACATGGTTGAGAAGCTTGGCATAGAACCAAGCAAAATTGATGACTTGTCCAACCTCCTTTACAAGAATTACGGAACAACTATGGCTGGTCTAAGGGTATGAAAACATTTCCTGTGATGTTGGTTTCCATTATTTAAATTCCAAAAATACTTCTAGTCTATAATTATGTTTTGTTTCATTACATATTCAGGCAATTGGGTATGACTTTGACTATGATGAATATCACAGGTACCTTCGCCTTTTTCTTTTACCTTATCACTTTCAAACTGCTAAAATGTGATTGTTTTTTCCAATCCTTGTGCTTATTTTAAAATGGTGACATTGATTTTACGATTACTGCTTGCAGTTTCGTTCATGGGAGATTACCTTATGAGAACTTAAAACCAGACCCAGTTTTGAGGAACTTGTTGCTGAACCTGCCCTATAGGAAACTTGTAAGTTGTTTATAACCAATTTGGAAGCAGTGGAATAAGGTCACATAGATGGTGCTTAATATTAGTATCTAATGTGACCTCTATTGCTTCTCTTGATTTTGTTAACAGATCTTCACAAACGCAGACAAAGTCCACGCTGTTAAGGCGCTTAACAGACTTGGATTAGAAGAATGCTTTGAAGGAATCATATGTTTTGAGACCCTTAATCCTATCCATAAAAGTACTGTCTCTGATGATGAAGATGACATTGAATTTATGGGTTCAAGGACCCTCAATCCCACCACTAGCAATGCTACAAGCACCTCTCAAATCTTTGACATCATAGAGCATTTTGCTCAGCCCAATCCCAGTGCAGTGTTGCCAAAGACACCAATTATTTGCAAACCATCAGAAAATGCCATTGAATTGGCCCTTAAGATAGCCGACCTTAACCCACAAAGAACTGTAAGAAAATCATCAACCTTTTGCCTTCATGATCTAATTTTGTTACCTTTTTTTTCCTTTTTCTGCTTGCTTACACTTTCTTGGGTTCTTTGTGTCACTTTCAGTTGTTCTTTGAAGATAGTGTCCGCAACATACAAGCTGGAAAACGTGTGGGACTTCATACTGTGCTGGTAAGTCATTGGAAATTTTGTTCTGTAGTAGAAACTGACATAGTTGTAGAGCGGTTATTGGTTGTCTTTTAATGAATATAAACCTACCATGAAATAATTTGAGGCTCTAATTATTGGTTGCCACATCTAGGTTGGTTCATCGCAAAGAGTTAAAGGTGCTGATTATGCCTTGGAAAGCATTCACAACCTTAAAGAGGCAGTGCCTGAACTATGGGAAGCTGACATAAAATCAGAAGTTGCATACCCTGGGAAGCTAGCTGTGGAGACATCTGTCACAGCTTGATATTATGTGCATGGAATCCCCTTTAATATTGTTCATTTAATGCATTGAAAATCCAATCACCAACTAAAAAGAACAAATCAGAGAAGCCCATGGGAATTCCCCCACTTCAGATGTAGTAATTGTAGTTGATGTAGATGCTTTATAAGATTGTAATAAATTACAAAATAAAATAAATTCTACTTTTTGGCCTTACGATATTAACAATGTCTATAACTAATTCCTTCCTCATTCAGCAAAAATCCCCAGAGATTTAGTTTTGTGGTGAATTTTCCATTAAACAAATTATTGTTATAGCAGGTCAAGCAAAATAAACTTCACGCCCAATAATATCTGGAGTAAATATTTGACTGAAATAAGAAATAAAATCAAGTTACATGATATAAATTAAATGCCAAATATCTCAAATTGTGATCTTACAGTTGAGGGAATCGCGATATGGAAAACAAACCTTGTGAAAAAGAAGATATTAATTAAAAGAAATTGAAGAAGTCGTGATTTGCATGTATTGTTAATATTTTTTATGTATAGTCAAAAGAGATAAAAGGAAAGGAAACAAAGGTTCGATTGTTTAATGAGCCATGAGAGAATTATGATATATATAATATTTAATAAATTGGGTTAACTTCACTTGTACACACAAAAACTTTGGAGAGAGTACTCTATGTTTTGGCTGCTTCAACCCATTTCATGTGTGAATTATCTATATAATACATTTCACGTGAATTGCGTCGCAATTACGCGTTGTAAATTGTTCATAGCAATATTAATGGGAAGCTGAAACGGTCAATGCCACATTCTTGTCATGCTGCAGTACAGTATTTTATATTAAACAGACTGCTAGGTAAAGTAGGTTTGACGGATAATATAAAACATAGCATGTTTAAAGTACGCGTCATTAAACAATATTTCACTTCATAAATAATTTTGATTGAACGTACGTTCCCAAGTTTGGTTTCTTTTATAAAATTATTAAAATATGGCTTTTTAAAAAATATTACATGAATATAAATTTTGTTTAGAAAAACGTCGGGACAATTTTTAAAGACATAAAAATCACTTAAAAGATTGTCTTTAGCGAGTTTTAAAGATTAAAAATAATTTTTATACCTCCCAAAATTGTGAATGATGAGTCTTTTTTTAAAAAAATAAAATAAAATCCAAAATCGTTATCGGCAAGTGTAAAAAAAAAAAAAAAATTGCAAGCAAAAATTATTAGCAGTGAGTTTTGAAAAGTAAAATTGTTGTGGACATTTTTTTTATGTTCTATAAATAGGTACTTGTCATTTCTAGTAAATTGCATCTTAAGCTTTCCATTTCATTTCTACGAAGTTTTCTATTTTATTTCTCTAAATTTTTACATTTCATTCCTCATTTCTTTTACTTTATAGTTGAAGAAAAAAAAATACAAATATAATAGTCTACTTTAATAGTGAGGTATATATAGTTTGGTTTAATGAAACTTTATAAGAGCAATGAGTTCTTGCATATGATGATAGGCTTCAATGGGATCACATTATTACGAATCTTGGTGAGTGCATTAATTTAGTGTTAAAGGGTGCTCACAATCTTCCAGTAACACCCCACATTTTCACTACTTCTAAATTAATGATTGATCATATCAATCTAAATAAATTAAAATTAGATAACACATGAAAATTTAGAAATTAAAACACACTTAACAAAATATACCCAAAAAAGAGCCAATTAAGGAATAATTAAGTAATGCAAGTATTAGATAACTGATAAGTCGGTATTTTGACATATTTTTACAGCCTATATATTTATGTGCGACCATTATTCTATCAAGTTTTTACACTAATTTCTATTATTATTGTGCAGATCAATATGAGAAGACCACAATTGGATTTTTGGTGCACTTTAGGCCTAAATTGGTTGGAAAATAGGATTTTGCTATAGTCAGCATGCCACAACCTTAGCAATCAGCATAGGGGTGCTTTGATCTATATATACAGTTGTGCTTATAGCCTTGAACGATCACGCTCACCTGTAAGGAGCCCAACTATGAAGAAATTTTAGGATTTTCAAACCCTGTTGAAAAAGACCTCAGGGGAAGCAAATCAGAATCCTCTTTAATCCTTTTGATATCATTCTTCCCATGCCTTTGACACATCTTTTTCACAACCCTACTCTTAATTTTTGGCACATTCTTAGCAGAACTTGGAGCTTTGAATGATCATACTTGATGATCGGGACCCAATCCTTGGAGATAATTTAGTCTGTTATTTCCTTTTGACTATGACTTTGTTTATGGTTATTTTAGTTCTTTTCTCTAGCATGAATAACTAAGTCCACAGTTAGGACTATGGGAACTCTTGTTCATTAATTCATGTGATTTTGATGTTTGAATCTAATTAAGTTTGATTTCTGTCAATGATTAGTGTTTGTCCTATTATGAATAATTGTATGTTATGAATTGGTCAATCATAACATAACCCTAATTAATTACATCGTAGGCTACTGTACCACGATTAGTTAATGGATATCTAGGATAAAACGAGACAAAAGATTAGGTGGAGCAAGCCAATTTTTCTATTCAAATCGTTATTAAATTAACAAGTTCATAGATGTTTTATACTTTCTTTAATTGATATCTTTCATGACCATTGTAGATGTTAATTTAAAGAAAAGAATATTAATATTACATAACCATTGGTTATTGATAGTATTTGTATGAATGATTAGTAATCATAAGAAAATTAGATTTAAAGTTAAACAAAAGAATATCAAAATTGAATGAGTAAACTCATATGCCTTAAGTTCCTTTCCTATAAGTTCAGTCAAGAAGTGTATTGTGTTATTTGCTTTAAATTTCATTGATAATTGATTTATTTTAAACAAGCTTAATATAAATTTCGTTATTCAGACAATTAAATCAAAAAATTCTTAGTAATTGGAAACAATCCTTGTTAGACAATAATTCAAAAACTTATTTTAAAACTCTTTATTACTTAAGAATTAAAATACACTTAACAAAATATACCCAGAAAAAGCCAATTAAGGAAGAATTGAGTAATGTAAGTATTGGGTAACCCAATTTTTAGAATAAATTAATTGCCCAATTATTTTAAATGATTTTAGAGCATATAAATTAGGGATTATAAGAACTATATTGAGTTGGGAAGAAACAAAGATAGAAAATAATGCAAGTTACAAATTTTGGTCAAAATGATCAAAATACTCTTAAAAAGACCTAGAATGTTGGCTCATTTTGGACACACTAATGACTAAAGAAAAATTTTGGGGTGTGCCAAATAGAACCCCAAAAAGCCTAAGAAAAATTTTCACAAAAATCTTGCAAAGGAAGTTATGTGTTAACGTGAATTTGAGGACTAATTATGAGAAAACTTAATCAACATCCAAAAAGCCAATTTGAGGCCAGATGCATGGCAATTATGCTCAAAGGATAAGCCAAAGTACAAGAATCAAGAGCTTTATCTTAGCTAATGGAAGATTGTCCAATAAGAAACAAGAAGCAAGTTAACAAGTCAAATTGACATGATTAAAAACATGACTAACTATTAGGATTCAACTCTCACCCAAAATTCAAGCAAAGAGTCATGAATATTTGTTTATGATAGAATTTGACAATTATTAAACAAATAAATTCAAAAGAAATTTGGGATTGAATTTTAGATCCTTTTTAAGTTCTTTAAGAGTGTTCTTAACATAATAATAATCAAGTTAACGTCATAGAGCAAAATAATCAGAAAGAGTAGAAACAAAATGAAACAATATTGACATAAAGTAGTAAAATTTAAATGAACAACAACTGGAATTTATATGAATTGTAGAAATGTAAACGTGCAACTTTCAATCACAATCAATATAGATTTGTTGATCTCTAAGTCGTCAGAACTAACTAGTGTGTAGAACTTTGGCTTACAGAGATTTTTGGTAAAATGTGTGTAAAACTTGTAACCCCTAAACTATGAAAAGAAATTTATAAGTAAATCTTTTTAACTGCTTTCTTCCCACATGCACATCTTTCATAATTTCCTCCATCATGTTTTGTGTAATCATTACTTTTATCATTCACAATCCTTGCCACATATTTTGCTCTACAACCGGAGATAATTGTTGTTTCGAAGTTGCTTGATTTTTTTATTAAAGATTCAAAAAGGTGCATTTTCAAAGGTTAAGTTCTCTTTTATAGCCACTTGGTTTGATCCGATCACATGCAACGGATCGGGAACATATTTTCAGAGTTGAGAAATGTGAAAAACATTATGTAGATTAGACAAATTTAGAGGTAGGGCTATCTGGTAAGCTGAACTCCCTATTTTTCTAAGGATTTGGTTGGGACCAATAAATTTTGGATTAAGTTTTTGAGGTTTCAAATCTTGTCCTATTCTTATTATCGGTGTAACTCACAGAAACACGCGGTCTCCCTCTTTGAATTCTAAAAGATTTCTCCTTATGTCGTAATAACTCTTTTGTCAGTTCTAAGAGGACTTCATCTTTTCACGTATTATTTTAATTTTTTCAGTAGTTTATTGACCTACTTCTGGGCCTGAGTAGGTTTTCCCCAGTCTTGTACCAACACAATGGCTTTCGACACTATAGAGGGCTTCATAGGGTGTCATCCTAATTCTTGAGTGATAGTTGTTATTATACGCGAAGTCAATTAGGCGTAGATATTGGTCCCACTGCCCCCTTGTTTTAATATATAGGCCATCCATAAATCTTCTTAAGTTTGGATAGTTCTTTTCGATTGTCCATCTATCTGAGGGTGATAGGTAGAACTAAGTTGTAGCTTCATTCCTAAGGTTTGATGCATACTCTTCCAAAATCTCAAGGTGAAGCGAAAGTCCCGGTAAAAAATAATACTTTTGGGTACATCATGCAGTCGTACTATCTCCCTAACATAAATATGAGTTAACTTGTCCAAAGAGTACCTCACGTTTATTGGAATAAAGTGAGCAGACTTCGTGAGGTGATCCACAACAACCCAAATAGCATTGTGACTTGTAGTCATCCTTGGAAATCCAAATACAAAGTCTATGGCAATGTCATCCCATTTCCATTTAGGAATGCTTAGTGGTTGTAATTAGCCAAATGGCCTTTGATGTTCCACTTTAACTTTTTGACATGTCAAACATGAAGCCACAAAATTAGCATTCGCTTTCTTTATTCCCGGCCACCAAAAGGTTTTCTTTAAGTCTTGGCACATTTTAGTGGCGCCTGGGTGAATACTAAGTCCTTTTATGAACTTCTTCAAATACCTAACATCTTATTCCATTTACCATGGGGATACAAATTCGATCCCTATATTTAATTAGGCCCCCATCTTCTTGGTAGAGGTCAGATTCCTTTCCCAACTCCTTCTTCTTAAGTCTTTCCTGTAGGAACTCATCACGTGCTTGAGCTATTCTAACTTGTTCTACAAAATTACTAGAAATCTTGAGCATTCCAAGCATTAAACTAGTTGGTTAAACTTGAACAGTCAGATTGAGATCTCCACAGGACTTTATGAATCCTAATTCTTTGATCTTTAAGGAGGACACGTGCATCCTGCTCAAGGCATCTACCACTACATTTGTCTTACCTAGGTGATATTATTCCATCCATCTACGCTAACGTATGTTCAACTCCTTTTAGTCAAAAAGGTACTTCAAACTCTTGTGATCATTGAAGACTTTAAATTAGAACCCTGATGAATCCACATTTTATTGGATTTTTACTTCTTATTTTAATGTTTCTTAATTGAAAAAGTAAACTTAGGGTTGTAAATAACATAAAAATATCATTTTGGTCAATTTGTAATAGATTTCTTAATTTTAGGTTAATTTACATTGATTTACATAGATATAGTTTGCAATTTTGATCATTTGAATAATTGTGTAGGAGTTTCTAGACTTTTTCCATGGATTTTTAGCATTTGAGAAAGTTTGACGTGAAAGTGATCACTTTGGAGTCCATAGTGAACACTACAGCAAGCTTGTTCCAGAAAGGTAGACTAGAGTGATCACTATGAACCCATAGTGACAACTCCAGAAAGGTCAAAAAGTACAAGGCTTGCGCGTAGCTACTATAGAACCATAGTAGACACTCTGGAGTAGCCAAAGTTATCACTCTGATGCCAAAGTGACAACTCCAGAGAGGGTAAAAACACAGGACCTGCGCGTAAACACTATGGAGCAAGAGTAATCAC